AGAGCCCCTGGAGCCAGAGTCCTCAGGAAAAGCAGCCGGACCTCTGGATAGGAGCCCAGGGCAGAGTTCCAGAAGGCCTCGATGTGCACTGCAGTGGAGAGGGCGCCAGCCTCAGGAGTGTCTCCTCCCTGGCAGAGCCCATGGACCTTCAGGGATCCCACACAGAGAGTATCAGAGGGAGTGGGGAAAGGCGGCTACTTGCTCACAAAAAGTGGAGGATGAGAACCGCCTGCCATCCAGGTCTGCTTTGCCAGGAAGTCCGTGGGTACCACCTCTCTTCTCCGACAAACTGAATCTCAACAAGATTCTGGCATCATGCAGGGGGGTGCTGGTGCGGGCAGAGCCAGCAGTAGGGATGTACGGAAGGCCCGGTGTGCCCTGTGACAGGAACCCTTTCCCCTGGCATCTTGGCAAGACACTGTGAGGGATAGCAGCAGCGTGGGCAATGGTCAGAGGGTGGGGGCCGCCACCCTGGATCCTTTGGATCCAGCAGGGAGACAAAAACCTTAGCCTGTTAAGTTGTAAGTCACTTTGGTGGGACTTCAGAGGGAGAACCTTGTCCTTACAGAAGAGCCATCAGAGAGAGAAAGGCACTAGCCCAGGGTCACTGGGAGGGTGGGGGCCAGACCTGGGTCTCCTCTCACCCGTCTGAAAGCATGTGGGTCACCTGAGCTGTTTGTCCCTGTGTCATGGCCCAGAGCAAGGACTGCCAGAGTTCTCTGCTTCACTGGGAGGCTCTCCAGCCTTCTGTGTTCATGGGAAACCTGATCCTGCCACGTTCTCAGGGACCTGGGCTTCCGTCTGGCCTCACCTTTCTCTTTATGGAAAAAAACCTTGGGTAGTTTGTTTCCCATGGCCAGGTGCCGCCTACTCCGCACACACGGTGTGACCTGCGTGGAAGGGATTGACCTCCCTCTGAAAAAAGTGGCTGACTTCCAGGGACATGGGGGCCACCCAGCGGCTTCCTGTGGCGGAAGACGCTCTGACCCAGACAACGTTCTCAGAGGAATTAGGGAGGCTCTCTCTTTGTCCCCCTCACCGGAACCCCCCTCCACTCACCTAACTTCCACCTTCTCCATTGGCTCACTCCACACCTCACCCCTCTTCCCCACTGGGACCCTGTATGTCTGTGTCTGTGTGTGTCTTTGTGGATCTGAGTATATGTCTGTGTGTAGGTGAGTTTATAGATAAGAATCCGTGTGTTTGTCAGTGTGTGTATATGAGAGGGAGGGAGAGAGAATTAGTAGGAGTTTGCTTGTGTCTGTGTGTTTCTGGAAATATGTGTGAGTTTCCGTGTGTTGGTAGGAACTTTGTGTGTGTGTATTTCAGGGTCATGGGACTGCAGCAGATGCCTTTGACTTTCTCTTCCTTAAGCGTCTCTTCCTTTGGCACTGCTGGCCTGATTCTCCTTTCCAGGCCATAGAGGAACCCACTATGGCACGTCATCTGTCAACTCTCCCTACGCCTTGAAACTCACCTTTGCACAGAGGGTTTAATGTGGGCCATCTCTGTGAGTTTTTAGGAAAAGTTTTTACTTTGGGGTTCTTTGGCTGGGGATTGAGAATGAATTCCATGCAAGTCTGTTAGGACCGCATTGGGTACAGGTAATGGAAAACCCGCTTCATATTACAAGCTAGGAGCTTATTTCTCCTTGCAGAACAAGAATGACAAAGGGGGCCACCTAGAAAGCATGGTTCCCTCAGAGATCCAGGCCCTTACCCCTCTCTGCACAGGCCCCAGCCTTCTGCAGTTTTCTTTGCTGGTCCGTGGTCTCCTCTGTCTTGCACATTTCATAGGGCTGTTGCAAGGACCAAGGGATTTGATGTGTATGAGAGAGCGTGGGTGTGCTAAGGGGTTTGCAGGAGTTGCACGGGGCAGCTCCTGCTGAAGAATACTCTGCCTTGGGCAGACCCTTTGGGACCCCGATTGCCTCCCTTCCTAGAACAATGATCTACTGGTGTGGAAACACAAGTCAGTCTGCTGTGTCCATCAACCAGACTCAGGTCAGATGCTTGCAGAATCTTAGGAGAAAGATTTGGAAACCCAGCAGCAAGTGTCAGCTTGTGTTGAACCAAAGGCTGGGCCCTTAGGAAGTACCTGCTACACACAGCAGACGCAGTGACCCTGCTGTTCCCAAGGGCAGCCCTCACGCCGGCACACCTCAGCGGTCACCAGCCCGGGCAGCCCAGCAGGTCACCGCTGCGAGGGGCCGTGGGGAAGAACAGGACACCATCCTGACTCCACCCAGAATCTGCTCTGGGTCTGCCGCTGCCAAGATAAAGACAACCTGAGCCAGTGGTGGTGTCCACCTGTGACTTGGCTCTGAACCTGCAGTGACCGAGCAACCTTTGGTGAGCTCCCTTCAGCCGAGTCCAAGGATCCAGAAGTGACTGGTGCACAGCTGTGTTCCATCAGCACCGAGGGGAGAACTTGACACAAATCTTAGGATTACTGGCTGGCTAAGGGAGGTCAGCTGGTCTGAGCCCCTGGAGTCCCCACCCTGAGCCCCTGATGCTCACGCTTTCATCACGGCTTGGGACAGTAGGAGCCTGTGCGGTGGTCCTCTGTGTGCGCATGGCCGACTTAGAGGCACTGCCTATGCTCCCTCTCCCTTCTTACCATGGGATGAATTTAAGAGGCCATAGGGGAAGGTCAGAGGCCTCTCCAGCCTCCCTTCCTCCCCTCCTCCTCCTCGGTATGCCTCCATGGGTCGTCAAGGCTGGATCTTGTCTTACTATTGAGCAAAAAAGACAAACTACAGAGAATGAACTTGACTTTAGGGTACATCTAAGAAGACAATTTCCTAACAGAAGGCATTACTTTTGGCCAGGAGCGGCAGCATGCCTGTAATCTCAGCACTTTGGGAGGCTGAGGCGGGCAGATCACCTGTGGTCAGGAGTTCAAGACCAGCCTGGCCAACATGGTAAAACCCCGTCTCTACTAAAAATAAAAAAAAATTAGCTGGCTGTGGTGGTGTGCGCCTGTAATCTCAGCTACTTGGGAGGCTGAGGCAGGAGAATTGCTTGAACCTGGGAGGTGGAGGTTGCTGTGAGCCAAGATTGCGTCATTGCACTCTAACCTGGGCAACAAGAGTAAAACTCTGTCTCAAAAAAAAAAAAAAAAAAGCATTACTTCAATGTATAAGAAGTAATGGCGAGACTGGAGCAGTTCCATCTGCCTCACAGGCAGGGAGCCTACAGGCTGCCCCGGGGCCAGGGCCTGTGCCCCCACCCTCCTCCCACCTGACTGGGGCACCCCCAGCCCTGGGCCCTCACTCCCAGTGTTCCCAAGAGCTTTTGCATGTCCAGACACAACTTCGACAAACAGTTCCTCACAGTCTTCTCCCTCTCACCTCCCCCTAATTCTCCTCATTGGCCATGCCTGGGTCTGAGGCCAGCTGGGCTGGGAGAGTCCGTGTTTTTTGTTTTGTTTTGTTTTGAGACGAAGTCTTGCTCTGTCGCCCAGGCTGGAGTGCAGTGGTACAATCTCAACTCACTACAACCTCCACCCCCCGGGTACAATGATTCTGCTGCCTCAGCCTCCCAAATAGCTGGGATTACAGGTGCTCACCACCGTGCCCAGCTAATTTTTGTATTTTTAGTAGAGACGGGGTTTCTCCATGTTGGCCAGGCTGGTCTCCATCTCTTGACCTCGTGATCCACCCATCTTGGCCTCCCAAAGTGCTGGCATTACAGGCTTGAGCCACCGCGCCTGGTCAGCGAGGCCGTGTTTTGAGCAGCAGGCTCCCGCACTCAAGCCAAGCAGTGCTTGCTGGGAAGCTTTAATCTGGCTCCTTTAGAGTCTCTGCTCTCACTTGTGTTCTTGGGTTTTTTGGTCCTCATTAGCAGCCACCAGGGGCCACCCGAAATTGCTGCAGGACACGTTGCTGCAGACGACTCCCCACCTCTTCCAGCCTCCTGGGCAGGGTGTTGGCAGGACATTAGCTCCTTCCTTTGGTCTTCCCCTTCCCCACCACGCTCTGAGGCCACTGCCTAGGTTCAGGGAGGCCAGAGTTAGCAGGCAGCGCTGGTGTCCTGTGCCTGTAGGTAGAGCTGTTCTTGCCCAGAGCATCTGTGTTGGCAGGATGTCCTCCCACGGTCCTGTGGCCACTCTGTTACTGGAATTGGCTCCTTAGGATACAGTGACAGAGCCTCAGTGAAGCATGACAGGGTGGGCAACCCCACCTCCCCACCCTTTCAAGGCCAGGAGGAAGGCTGGGGCCTGCTCTGTGGAGCTGTAGCTGCTGGCCTGAGATCTCACCCTTGCATCACCTCCCGGCTTGGCCGTTCCCTTCCCTCGAGGCTCTGGGAGTTTCCTTTACCTCTCCCGTCTTTGTTTGCACATTTAATCAGGGCTTTAAACTACACGATCACCGTGACCCTTTCTAGTGCTACAATTTATGGGTTTTTTGATTCAGAAGGCTGTGCCTTGGCTGCCCGACTGCAAAGCAGGGTTGGGGTGTGGGGGCAGCAGCCGGGGGAGCTACCGCTCCCTGTGACTCCCTCTAACCTGGCAAACCCCAGAGCTTCATCAGGCCTCAAACCCCAGTCCTTCCACACCCTGGATCAGCAAGAAAATGTGAGGGCTGGGACCTGGTCGAGGACAGAGTGAAAGCGCATAGGCTGACCCTGTCAAGGGAAGGTGTATCCCCAAATCCTGACTCCTCCAGCCAGGCATGATCAGGGCTGCGGGCTCTGCATTCTGGAGAAGGAATTTGAAAGCCTTCCTTCTGGGCTTTGGAAGGGCTCCCCCACTTCGCTTTCCTGCAGCCAAAGCAGTCCTTTCAGGGGATCCATTTTGGTTTTTATTCCTGTTTCCAGGTAGGCGGGTGGGCAGCGTCAGAGCTTCCGGAGTGCGTCTGGGCTTGGCTGCGTCTGCCCTGCGTCACTGCTCTTCCTCCAGGGCAGGGTCCATGGAGGCACCCCTGGGTAGGGAGGGCTCTGGAGGATGCACTGGCCCCTTCCCCCTTGTCTGACCCTCCCATTTTGTGTTCTCTGCAGCCTGTGATTGCCACCCCGTGGGTGCTGCTGGCAAAACCTGCAACCAAACCACCGGCCAGTGTCCCTGCAAGGACGGGGTGACGGGTATCACCTGCAACCGCTGCGCCAAAGGCTACCAACAGAGCCGCTCTCCCATCGCCCCCTGCATAAGTACGTGTGGGCACCTGCTTTCCGGGTCTCTGGGTCTGGTGGGTATAGTGAGCTTTTGAGGATGCTGCTCGCTGACGTTCAGTCGTTTTTTTTTTTGTTTTGTTTTGTTTTTGAGATGGAGTCTCACTCTGTCACCAGGCTGGAGTGCAGTGGCGCAATCTTGGCTCATTGCAGCCTCCGCGTCCCGGGTTCAAGTGATTCTCATGCCTCAGCCTCCCAAGTAGCTGTGATTAAAGGCATATGCCTCCACGCCTGGCCAATTAATTATCTTTTTAATGGAGATGGGGTTTCGCCATGTTGGCCAGGCTGGTCTTGAACTCCTGACCTCAGGTGATCCTCCCATGTTGGCTTCCCAAAGCACTGGGATTACAGGCGTCAGCCACAGCGCCTGGCCTATTCAGTGGTTTCTGTCATCAGTGTGCATTTCTGCATTCAAGGCCTCATGCTCAATGAGTTTTCGTGGGAGACCCCCATAAGCTCATAGAGTTCTTGCAGATGCCACTGGGGGCTCAGCAGAGCCAGCCTGTCTGAGGCTGTCTATCCTGAAAAACACTGCGTCTCCTGTTTCTGGGGGAAAGCAAGCCCTTCTCCTCAGCACTGGCCCCATTCTCACTGTCCACCTTGACCCTGAATCTGGGGTGGACCCATTCTGAGGGCCTCTGCAGTCACTATTGCTGGAATGCCGGCATTCTCTCTGCCCCTGTGGGCTCAGAACAGAAAGGACGGACAGCCTTGGACCTTTGAGAGGCAGGGCTTCCATGCGGGGCACCTGTGGCCCTAATGAAGGATGGTAGCAACTCTGAGGGGTTCTGCACTGCTGTTCATAGGGGCTCTCTAATAGCAAATGACCAGGGTCCAAGCCTCAGGAGAGGGGGCCCAGCACCCATTCAGCGCAGAGCAGGTTGAAATGGTTTCCCAGCAACCTCCAATTATCAGTCTCACAGTTTGTCAGAATCCTGTCCATCCAAATTCTGCAAGGTGAACATTTTCAGACAGCTGGGAGGAATTCTGGGGTTCTGAAATCATGTCGGGGGACTGAAGTCTCCCTGCTTAAGGGAGTTAGGAGTTCTCAGGTTGCTCAGAAATGCTTGGAACCAACATTTCAAATCCCCAAGTGGAAAGATCAAGCCTAGACGTGAGAGCTGGTGTTTCTGAATCAGAAGCTGAACCCTTGGGAACTCTCATTTTCCAGCCTGTGCCTCGGCCCCTCCTCTCACAAAGGGCAGGCTGATGCCTGGTGGGAGCATTGCCCCCTCCTCGGACACCCTGGGGCTCCATCCTGGAATTTTCGGGTGCTCTTCCCGAGGGGAGAGCTACAGGTGTGCATACTGTGCCCAGGGCACTCATGCCCTGTTTAGTCACAGCCTGGGCAGCCATGGGCCCTGCGTGTGTACCCCAGAACCAGGCTGATCTCAGGCACCAAGGTTGGGTGGCCACAGTAGCTCTGTGGCCATTGGCTTCCGTTCCGTTTGTGGACTTGGAGGATTAGACTGGACCATTCAGATGTTGCCTCCAGCGTGTTTCTGCTGGGACCAGCTGGCTGTTTAGGTCCAGCTTCCTGATAACCCATTGTGACAGGGCACTGATGGGTAGCTGTTGCTGATACAGTCACCTGGGAGCAAGATTTGGCCACACATTGAGGGCTGTGTCCCCCATTGTCCTTCCTAAAAGTGCAGAGGATGCCTCTGGTGCCTCTCAGATTTGCCCCCTGGCCTGAGTAATCCATCTCCATCTACTAAGCCTCAAATTCTAGCTGATCTAGAATCAGGGAGTCAGAGTTTTACTGCAAAGAGTCAGATGGTGGCTAGAGTCAGTGGGGTTCATGAGTCCCTTCCTCTTAGGGACTTCTGGTCCATGGTTTGGCCTTGTCCAGAAAGAGGAAGCCTGAGCTTCAGGGCCAGGCTGCTGAACCGGCGAACAGTGGGGATGGGCTGAACCGCCTCTCCTTTCTTGATCACACGGCGGGGTCTGGGAAGTTGTAGGAACAAACTGCTTTTTACTTTTTTTTTTTTTTTTTTGAGATGGAGTCTCGCTTTATCACCCAGGGTGGAGTGCAGTGGTACAATCTCCGCTCACTGCAACCTCCGCCTCCCAGGTTTGAGTGATTCTCCTGCCTCAGCCTCCCAAGTAGCTAGGACTACAGGGGTGGGCTACCACGCCCAGCTAATTTTTGTAGTTTTAGTAGAGACGGAGTATCACCATGTTGGCCAGCTGGTCTCGAACTCCTGACCTCGTGATCTGCCCACTTCGGCCTCCCAAAGTGTGCATTTTATTATTATATATACTTTTTGAGACAGGACCTCGCTCTGTTGTCCATAGTGGAGTGCAGTGGTGCCATCATAGCTCACTGCAACCCAAAACTCCTGGGCTCGATGAATCCTCCTGCCTCAGCCTCCCAAGTGGCTGGGACTACAGGTGCACACCACCCTGCCTGGCTAATTTGTTTCATTTTTTTGTAAAGGCAAGGACTTGCTTTGTTGGCCAGGCTGGTTGAAAACTCCTAGCCTCAAGCCATCCTCCCACCTTGGCCCCCCAACATGTTGGGATGACAGATGTAAGCCACTGCACCTGGCCAGATTGCTCTATTAGACACAGAATAATGAAAATGGAGCACATGCTTTTATGAGGCCCTTGGATCTGCACTCTCAGTCCCATTCTGCCCACTGAGCAAATGCCTTGGCAGCTGAGATGTGAGCCTGTAGGAAGCTGGGCCGTGCTGCCGACACTTCTCTGCATGTGGGAGAAACCTTTCCCTTTGGACAGGTTCCCAGCCCCTCGCTTGCCGTCCTGCCATGGATCCTTCTCCACCTGTGAGCTGAGCTCAGAGGTGAGCAGGGCCCAGGTAGCCACTTCTGATGGGCAGTGTAGCCTGCTAAGTGCCTCTCCGTCCCCCCATAGGTGGAGCTGAGTTGATGACCCACACACAGCAGAGCCCTAGTGAGAAGCATGTGCCGGGCCGGGGGGTGGGGCAAGGCCAGACTCTGTGCTGCCGCCTCAGTCCCACCTGTTCTCCACGCCCCACTGCCAGGCGAAGGGACAGCTTCCAAAGGAGAGCAACACCACGTGCCCAGGATGGCGCTGCCGGCTTCTGCTCCTCTGACTTTTCTCTTGAGCCAGGAAGTGGGAAACAGAGGAGAGGGTCCCAGGAAGTTGGGAGGGGTCTGTGATGGGCTCATTCATTCTAAGGTCAAAAAATCATGTCTTCTTACCTTGTTTTCTCTCCAACACCCCTGTCTTGAACCTCACAAAGAGATCCCCGTAGCCCCGCCGACGACTGCAGCCAGCAGCGTGGAGGAGCCTGAAGGTAAACCACCCCCTTGGCTTTCCATGTCCCGCTTTTGCTGTGTGGTGGGACGGGGGTGGGAAGGTTAATGGGGAAGGGGCGTTCGAAGGCCCAGACTCCTCTAAGCCCTGTCTGGGCTCTGCTCTGTGTGAGTGGCACCCCTCAGTTGCATTAAAGAGGCTGGAGCTACAGGACACTATTTTGTGACCTCCCCTCTGAGAATCAAATAGAGGAGATTTTAATGGTGCCTCTGTCCCAAGTCTGGAACCTGTGGGAGGAGATGGCCTGGGCCAGACCTGTGTTACTTATGGTTAAATGATTACTTAGCACCTTCTACTTGTTTACCAGCTGCTCGCCAGCCCAGCACCTTCCAAGCTGAAGGCTTGTCACTCCTTTCTGGGGCTGCAGAGAAGGAAGGAGCCAGGCGCTGGGGATGCTGGAGAAGGCTTGGGCACAGGGGCGCACAAGCAGAATGCTGGGGGCCGGGAGCTGGGGGGTAGGGGGAAAATCACATCTTTACTTTCACTCACCTCTAACTGAAAATTTAGCATTTCCTCCATGGCAAAGAGAGGCCACAAACCACAGCATGTGGCTCAGCCTGCTCCATGGTCGCTGGCAGAAGTCACAGCGGTTTTCACATCACATTCTAGCTGGTGCCGATATCATAAATATTATTCATGCTGGTTATTGCTTCTCAAAACGGCAGGAGTTACTAGACCTGCTGCTAGATCCTGATTTATAATCATTAATAAGAGGCACTCACGTAGCGTCACCATGCCGTCAGTCTGGGTCTTTAAAGATATTTGGGCAGCGGCTCTTCTGTGTTATTTGTTTCCTCTGTAGTCCTGCGTATTTTTATTTTAGCATGGAGAAATGTTATTCTGAGGAAGGGTCCACAGGCCTCACCAGTCCAAGAAAGGTTGTATAGCTCTGGCTTTGGGCACTCAGAGGGCACAGAGGCCTGCCAGATGGGGTGTCCTGCTGAGAGTGGCCCAGGTCTGCACCCAGAGTCCTGGTCCAGGGATCTCAGAGAGCTTTTGTGTACTGGTACTTGGGGTTGAAGATGGCAGGAAGTGACGGGGGGGACCCCAGCATGGACATTCTGGCTAGTGCTAGGGACCCTTTCTCTCCCCAGAAGGGGCTGTAGGGAGGCATGGGGGAGCTCACAAACCCATGTGGCCACCTGAATATTTTAGGATATAGACTGGATTTTGGAGAGTATTTGTGGTGCATGGGAAACTTGAGGGAAGACAGATTCAGCACTTGCACAGGCATGGTCCATAAACAGCCAGCAAGGCCGGGCACAGCGGCTCATGCCTGTAACCCAGCACTTTGGAAGGCCAAGGTGGTGGATTACAAGGTCAAGCGATCAAGACCATCCTGGCCAACATGGTGAAACCCTGTCCGTACTAAAAATACAAAAATTAGCTGGACGTGGTGGCGCATGCCTGTAGTCCCAGCTACTCGCTAGGATGAGGCAGGAGAATCGCTTGAACCGCGAGGTGGAGGTTGCAGTGAGCCGAGATTGTGCCACAAACAAAAACAAGCAGCCAGCAAATGGGAAACGTGTTTCCGGGAGTGCTGGAGGCCACGCTGGGAAAGCCAGAGACAGTTCAGTCTTACCTTGTTTGCAGAGCCTTCAGGGACCTTTGATTGAGCCACATGCAGGGGAAATGGGGAAGAGGAGGGACTGAAGGAAGCGCACGCCAGGGTCCCTGGGAGGCTGGAGAACAGAGCTAAGGTGGGAGATGAGGAAACTCTGTCTTCACGGCACAATTCAAAGGAGCCTTCTAAATGAGTTCAGCTCTAGGGGAGAGCAGTGTTAAAGGTAGAAGACACTTAAATGGAACTTCGATTCTTGCTCTCCTTGATGTGGCATTTGTCCTTGCCTAACTGAGACTCACCTGGACGAGATCTGAAGGCTGTGCATGCCGTGGGGGGCTGAGCTTCCAAGCAGAGACTCAGACAAGAGCAGGACAGTCCTTAATGATCTCTTTCCCTATCTCTGTCTGTCTCTGTCTCTGTCTCTGACTCCTCCCATTTCTCTAGCCCTTGTAGCTTGACTTTGGGTTTCTCGTGAACCCACAAAACTTTGAGTTTGAGTTTCTCCCTTCCAAATCAGAAATGGGCAAATGGGGAAACAACGTGGAGGGGGCGAGCTCATGGGGCTTCTGCACGGGCTGCAGGAAGTGGGTGTAACACTTACAAGGTTCTTGGCTCCACCAGACAAAAGATTCCTGAGCAACTGCGTAGAAACACTTGCACCTCCTCTTTTGAAATGTCTTCTTTGGGTTATTTAACTTTTCTGACTGTTTTTGATTTCGTTACTGTTTATTTCCTTTCCTCATTTTGAACCTTTAAAAGTATGGCTTAGAATGAAGTGAGCAGTAAATTAACACCCTTATGAAATATCTTCCTCAGAGACAGGCTGAGTGAGCAGGTTGGAAGCCTGTAGCACCATTTGTAGCTTTGACCAGACCCGTGCTGCCCTGCCCTGCCCTGCTCTGCCCTGCCCTGCCCTGGGGGTGCCTCGGATGCCCAGGGTGGGTGTCTGATGCTCTCCCCAGAGAACCGGAGCCATCCCTGAGACCCAAGTGCTGGACTGTGGGGCCTCCCACTACAGAGAGGCTGGGCTTGCCTTGTCTCCGAGGCTGAGACATTGCAGGCAGGAGGCCAGGACAGCCCCCTGGGAAGTGGGGCCTGGGAGCTCAGGGCACCCAAACCTGTCCACTCTTGCAATGTTTGAATAGGGGAGGCCTCTGTGTGAGGCTGCCTGAGAAAAGCTTGTTTACTTTTGCCTGCGTACCAGAGGAGAATTAATAAGCTGAGAATTTGTTCTGAAAACTGATGGACATAACCTTCCCCTGAACTCATCCCTTTGAAGGGCCGGCTCACTCCAGGAATGTTCTTTACCTGCTCACAGAGCTAGCTGGTGAGCCGTCATGGGGCAGGGAGGCAAGGAACGTGGTGCCGTGGGGGTTCTGGGGCGTGGGGGGGGCCAGGAGGGAAACAAGCAGGAAGGGAGAGAGGGAGCACCCACTCAAAAACGGGCATTGTGCCCAAGGCTTCCCCAGCACACACCTACTTACTGGTTATAGAGACCTCAGCACTCAAGGATAAAAGAGAGACACCTGCTTTCCCTTCCCCCCCCCTTCCTATCAACTCAAGGGGAGTTCTTTTTTTTTTTTTGAGATGGAGTCTCGCTCTGTTGCTCAGGCTGGAATGCAGTGGCTCGATCTCCACTCACTGCAACCTCCACCTCCCAGGTTCAAGTGATTCTCTTGCCTTAACCTCCAGAGTAGCTGGGACTACAGGCATGCGCCACCATGCCTGGCTAATTTTTGTATTTTTAGTAGAGACAGTGTTTGACCGTGTTGGCCGGGATGGTCTTGATCTCTTGACCTTGTGATCTGCCTGCCCTGGCCTCCCAAAGTGCTGGGATTACAGGGGTGAGCCACCGCATCCAGCCTAGGGGAGTTCTTGATTTGCAAATTGTTTGTTTGGTTTCGTGGAGGCCGCTTGGTTTGGTGGGAGGAAGCTGGTGTGGAGCCAGAACTGGGGTTTGCCGTTCACTGATGCTGAGGACTTGAATAATGCCATGGTGTCTCCTTTCTGCCTTCTGGAAGAATGAAGTGGTGGACCCAGTGCTGCATAGGCCCTTCCCTCCCTGGCTGTCTGTGGGAGGAGTGACCTTCTCTTGCTGGGGATTCCTCTTTAGAAGCACCTGCTCACTCTCCATCCACCCCTGAGGATCCACTTTTCCTGTATCCTGGGTAGAGGCCTGTGGGTGGAGGTGCTGGTAAATACTTAGCAACTGACTGGGGCAGGGGAGGGGCCAATGTATAGCATCTGCCGCTTCCCTTGGTGTAAATACTCCCTCTCTGGCCAGTTTCGGGCTACTTCATGAGATGTCATTGAATGTAAGGTTGGGAGAGGTGTATGATTGGCCCTCAGAGCCCATGCCAGCCGATTCCACCCCACCACTGCCCATGGGCCTTCCCGCAGAAACAAAGAGGTCCAGAGGATGGAAGGGCTGCCTTTGCTGGCCTCCTTGATTTGAGGGATCACAGCTGCCTTTCAGTGGGAGCTGGACCCAGGGCTCTGGGGGTACAGGAACATGGAGCCGGCCAGCTTCTGGGCTCCCTCCACCTCCCAACAGGGATCCCGGATCCTCTCTTCCAACAGAATGTCTTCTGTTCATTCCATCGGGGCCTTACCTGGTGCCTTTGGCTAACTGCCCCAGTAGCTCCAACCTGATGTGAGCGTGGCTGCCAAGGGCACCCTTGCACATGACCTTGAGGGTAGTCTGCAGGGAAAACTCCCCAGAGCCTTTCAGCCAAACCTCTCTGAGAAGCTCTGCACTCAGGTGCCACCAGGCCGGTGTGGGCGGGGTGGGGGTGACCTTAGAGAAGTCACATCTAGTGGCCTCTCGGCACCTCCATTTTTCCATGTAAGGAAATTGGGTTTATGTAGACCTGCAGCCTGGATAAGCATGGGTTATTCTCTTTAGACTTTTGTTTACCGAGATGGGGAATAGGTTGGGTGAATACAGGAAAATGACCTGATGGGACTTGAATGTGGTATTGGTAAGGGGTTGTGGGGAGGGACAAGAGGGAGAAAAGGGCACTAAAATGGGGAGGCTGAGGCCTGAGTGCTGCTTGGTCTCTGTCTCGGATTCTTCATCTGTGAAAAGGGGTAATCACAACCCTGCCACTGGGGCTGTTGTGAGGATTAAATGGGATGATCCCAGTAAAGCCTTTGACTCAGTGGTGGACCTGTTGAAAGTACTTGATGAAAAAGCAATAAATTGATGTGAAAAATACAAGTACCATGATGTAATGAGGGGTGGAGCCAGCTTCTCCATGCAGAAAGATGGGATGGGGTGGGAGTTGCTGGCATGAGGACAAGTATGGAGAGTCAGCTTGACTGGGCTTTTGAAGACCTTAGGAAGTCACAAGTTGGACTGCCCAAGGCAGGCAGCGGCTGAGGGAACTGTGTGGTGGCCCTGTCTCAGCCTCCTG